ATGAAACTATATCCTGATCCCACAGCGAGAATGCGGTCGGAATTATTTACTGATCGCTATAAAATTCCTAGAGAAATAACATAATAAGGACATGACTTGATAAAGATAACATAAACTTTATAACGGTAATTAGTTATACTAACAAATATTAACAATTCACTATTTATATTATTAACATTGTGCTCTGAACATTTTAAAGATTTAGGAAAAATTATTTACATAAAACTTTCTGTTTTACAGATCATTGCTTATTGAAAATTAAAAAACTACATCTTACCACATTACATAACAGTAGACTTTTTTTCAACTTCTAAATATTAAGTTGGTAATTTTAGTAATAATTACTTGTCTATTCTTATCCATAACAATTACACTCGTAATAATCACTGGTGGTCAATAAATGTCACATGAGCCTTCCTCATGCCGATGTCACGGTGTCGCGGATATGGTAATGGGAAAATTCTCATCTCATTTGCTTCGCGGCTATCACACGCCTCGGGGCGATTACTTTCAACGCCATCATATGTTAGACCAACGCGCTCTCATCTAATTGATTTAATGAACGTCTTAAGATTATATTTAATACTCAAGATAAACGTATTTCATCGATATTATTTTTACTTTAAAAATTGCCGGATTTTTATTGGATATTTTATTACAAAATCCCCATTTCTGATTGCTATATCCTGGCCGACAAAATCTATGATAAACTTTTATTGATTTTAATAGTTCATTTACTTTATAATATATCTTTAGGTAGGACCATTCAGGCAATAACTACAACTACAAGCAATAATTTATCAATATAATTTATGGTACGATATTCTAAGTCACAAAAACGAAATCTATCGAATCAAACGTAATAAACGCTGAGATTGCTGAATGCACAAAAATATGCGCGCATACAATGAACAATTAAACAAGAAATGATTACCGCATTAAAGAATTCTTCTGGTTGATTGTTATCATGACATTCTTTTTAGTTGTCTTCAAACACATTAATAACTAAACGGGGCAATTACCGTATGTTTTTGCAACGCGGAAAGCTATGCAATGATGGAATACGAACAATTCGAATTATGACGGCATCTGACAGACAAATAGCGATACTTTCTAGGAATTTACATTCAATTCCATTCTTAAGTATACAATAGACATTAATTAACCGAATGAAATAAAAGAAAAGATTCACAATTCGTCTGTTTGTTTTGTTACCTAAGAACTTCGTTCTGATAACTATGTACATTGCTCGATAGGGATGCCACTTTGGTGTTATTTTCGGTATTGTAATCATCTTAAACTTGCCCTTATCCCTTACGGAGGGTCGGCACAGTATGTGCTGCTCTTCCATACATCTCTAATCGTCATATCTGAATCCACTCCTCTCTTAAGCATATCCTCTCTCACACAATCCATCCATATTTTCGGTATTGTAATACTTGTAAATTATTCCTTACAGTATAATAAGATAACATAAAATAAACCGCAGTCCACATAACGGATTTTTTATCATTTACTCGTTTGAATTCCGACAATTGGTTTTAAACAAGATCGCGGTTAGGCGGAAATCGTGTGGTAAGAAATTGGGTTATCAAGTTAACAAAGCTTGAAAATAAATGTCTGACATTACGTTTGAATATTGCAAATATAATGTATTCTATTACAATAAAGTATTCTTTAGCTTCTACATACAATGCAATGTTAGTTAATCAACTAAGTATAGCTACATAACACCATTGTCTATTTTCAATCTAACATAACATTCAATATTTATACTTAAGAGAAATTATTACAAAGATGACAGGTAAGATACTTTGGCTTAGTAAAGGAATTCTAAAATGCAACATATTTTTTCGAATTCAACGAAGAAAAGATATCTCGATTTTGTTTTCTTATGATCGAATGTCGAAATAATTCGACCATAAGTCGGTTAAATCAATTTAAAAAACGAGCTGATACACTAGCTGTTCGTCTTCATCCGTATGAAATTATAAAAACTTTATTGTGTACATTTGTCAAATTCTCAATTGCAAATGTCTACATTACTGTTACCATAATAATCTTACTTCCTTAATGTTGGCAGCTTGTAGTTTATGGTCCCTTTCCCACATGAAGGTTTTTTCCAATTTCTTTATCCCCTACGTTTAATAACGTGAAAATATATAAGCTAAAGCGTGTCGTAAGTGTAGAGCTTTTTAATAAAGAAATAATTATTCATAAATATGCTGTTATTGCTGATATCCTACGCCACAAAGTAATGTGTCTTTACGCTTTATTACATTAGTATAGATAGATATAGAAGTAAGTATAGATTGTACGATTTTTATAGTTTTGTAATAACTAAATCCTTGTATATAGACAAAAAAGAAACTACAGATATTATAATAGCACATTATTCAAATTTAAAGAACTCTGAACCTTTGTGAATACTACGAAAGGTAGTGCTTCGTAAATTATGTAAAGATGTACAAGGCGGTCCCTTGTTCCTTTCTGGGTAATTTCATGTTTCCAGAGCTTGAATAACTTATACGTCTACGTGCGACGTTACTGAAACGATTCATAAAACTTTTATGCCATCAGATGGGGAACAAATAAAATAGTTTATTCTCTTTATTCGGGACGTAAAAAGAATACCAAATTTATAACAAACGATCCTATATAACTATACGGATTTATAATAAAGGTAGTTTTATGTTTGCTTTTTTAAAAGTTTGGATAGCTGAAAATGTAAAATGTAGTTGAGAGTAGCCCCATGGTAGAGAAGGTAAGGAGTAAAAGGTTAGCATGGTAAGGGCATGTTATGAGGAGAGATGAATCGCATGTTACAAGAAGAACTTTAGTTATGTGGAAGGGTACACTGGTAGAGGTAGAACTAGAAAGAGATGGATGGATTGCGTGAAAGGTGACATGATCAAAAAGGAAGTGATGACTGAGATGACGTATGATAGAGTTATATGGCGGACAAAACCTTTTGCGCCGACCCTACGGGAGTAGGATAAGGAGAAAGATGATGATGAGTTCAGCTGAACTAAACATGTCAGTGGATTTTAGGTTATAAATGCAAAAGTATTTGAAAAAAAATATGGTTCATTATTATGTATAAATACATAGTAGGTACTTTCTTAAGTAGAAAAATTTACTAGAAAAATAGAACGATCGAATGCTTTTTCTATCAACCTTGTTTCTTACGAATTCGTATTTGTTTCTGCAATGTATATTTAATAGGGACCCGTTTGTAGTGTAATCCATCTAAAATACTGTCTCGACAAGAAATAATTATTAGCACGTCGTAACAGCGCTTGCGTGGGCCCAGCGGACATCCTTATAGACTCGAAGACACGCCGCTTTAACTAAAATTGTCATAGCAATTTACAACTATGATCTAACACTTCAGTGCAAACTAGACCGGTACTAGAACTAGCGCCCTCTAGTGACCACATTTAGCATAAAAAATAATAAAGTCTAAATGAAACTTGAATTATGTAAATACTAGCTACTAGCTGTTGCTCGCGACTTCGTCTGCGTGAAATTCAAATATAATGAGAACAGCCTATGTTACTAATTTATAACGTATCTTTTTAATGGTGAAAGAATTTTTGAAATTGGTCCACTAGTTTTGGAGGTATTTCAATTAATACAAAAATACAAATCTTTCTTTTAAAATATAATGATTAAGTATTTTGATCGTTCCTTGATATCCACTGCGCGGAATTTAAAAATATCTAGTTAAAAAATATAGCTTATGTTAGTGATAATGTTGCTTTCTAAAAAATGATTTTTTTTAAATCGGTCCAATAGTTTTTGAGTGTATTATTTACATAAAAATACAATTTTTTCCTCTTGGTATTCGTAGAAATAATGATAGGCAAAATGTCTTATATTATGGTACAAAATTCTATTCTATCTTTGTTACTCGAAATATTTAATGCAGTATAGTTTACAAAGGTGTGACATTACAGATTAAAAATATAATTAAAAATAATTAACAACAAAATGAATTTTGATAATTCAAAATTTATATAATTTTGTTTGCATTGGAATCTGGAAAGTTAAGTGTTACTAACTGCTATTGTTTAAACACCGTCGATCAACAACTTGATTATAATTCTTGATTTATGATAACCAACTTTGTACACTAATTATTGGCAGCGTCCATCTTTTTACAATTTGCATATCGTGAATCAGTTATACCAGTCTACGTTAAAAACATTCGTTTCATCGTAAAACTTGTCTGCGTCAAGGACGTCGCGTAAAACACTTAACTCAAAGATCGTCTTGTTTTTAAAACGTTTATAAATAACCACTGCGAAATGTAAAAATAGAAACAAACCACGAAAAACACGAGATAACCACCTAGTGTTGTAAGTTTATTTGAATCTATGCTTCACAAGTCTACATTCATTTACTCTGTTTAATTTTTTACGTAAGTTGTGCAAATTATTTTTATATTTTATATTAATAAAACTAAATAATTTTACAAAGATAAATCACAAAAGTTTATAAATGAATAAGCTCTGAAGTTAATTTTCAAAATACATAAAACGACGCCGGATTGCTTTAGCACTGAATGTCATATTTGTTGTAAACTTACAACCAAGGTGATTTACTTAGCTACATAAATAAGGAAGCTCATGTTTCAAGGAGCTTGTGCGAGTGGAACCGGTACCTGAGGGACAAAGTACAAGTGGCAAATTCTACCGAACGTTCTTCCGTAAATTGATGACTACCGAGTATGCTACTTGGGTCTTGAAATGGTTAATGGAAATGTATGGGAATACTAACATGCCGTAATGGACTTTTTAGTAGCTGAAATACGTTGTATATGAACTGAAATACGAAATTCAAAGAACAAGATTAAAATATAAAAAATCTTTGCTTTAAGACACTAAAATAATTCATGAGGAATAAACGCAAAGAAGGTTAATGCCCTCGCAAAAAAATTCGAAAGAAAACTCCCAAGTTGGTTCCCAAGTTTTCACGTGTATTGTTTTTTTTTTCAGATCACAATAGCGGAAGGCGGTGGTCCTCTCGGCACCCATTGTCGGAAGAGCGCCGAGTGCAATGTTTCAAATTCACACTGCGACAAAGGAGTTTGCTCTTGTCAACCTTATTACGCCCAAGTTGACAACTACACGTGTCTTGAATGTAAGTACCCTAGTTATATTTTGCTTACACGGATTTTTTTATATTAAAATTTAATTATGTAAAAATAAAGGTAGATACTGACACACTGTTGTCCTTATACAAGTCCAAATCTAGAGAAACAATTGAAATACTATTGTCATTTTACTTCTTATTAATCTTACTTCTAACTAACATTATAAATGTGAAAGTTTAGGTGGATGGATGAATATTTGTTAGAGTTTGTAGCCTAAACGGCTGAACGGATTTCGCTGAAATTTGGCACAGATGTAGAGGATACTCTGAAAGAACGCATAGGCTATTCAGTTTGGTTTTTTCAATCCCACACGAACGGAGTTGCGGGCGAAAGCTAGTAATTTGTATTGTGATGGCTTTATTTCTTAATTAGCTATAGGAATTGAGTTGTTAATGTAATATGTAATTATTATGTTAACAAAAATGTTTCGTCTTCACGCGATCTTCAGCCCACGCATCGCGGTACTAGACTAGACTTCCGTAGAATACAATTTCTTAGTACAAATTGCGCGCAAAACTGCGTTTTTTTTATTGTCCTACTAAAGTGTAGTTGTGAATTATTTGGTGACATAATAATATCTATTAAGAATTATTTCGATTAGCTATAGAATTCTGAAATACACCAAGAATGCACCAAATACCATACATAGGAAACTGACCAAACATCTTTGCTAGCTAAATTACAAACCCACATGCATGTTACATACACACAATGCTGTGTCAATAACCCCTAATAATTCTGCTGCGGTAGTGTTGCTAGCTAGAGGCGTAAATGGAAGTATTTTTACGATGTATTTTATTGGCGCACTATCGCCGACAAAAGAGTCTTCCAACCTTCGCTAGTCTGCGGTCAGCCTTACAAATTACTTTCACTTAAATAATACTCGACGTAACTATTGTCATCAAAATGTAAAAAAATGGTAGCTACGCTCAGAGAATTTCGCTTTCCAATCATTTGGAAAAAATTATCGGAATGTATTCAAAATTCTTTGTTTTGTGGGATTGAAGTGCACATTAAAATTTACAAGAAAGAAAGTTATTCAGATTGTTACATAAAATAAAATACTTCTACGGTATTTTTTTGTATTTGGTATTTGCATATTTTGATAAACGAAAAAAGGTTTTTATTGCTTGAATGAATGCGTTTACAAAAAATAAACATCGAATTAGTGCATAAAAAATATAAGATCGTTAGTCTGCTATCTAAATGCAAAATCATGTTGGTTTTATAGACTAGCATTGAATACCCCTAATCAATGATTTTCCATTTTGCTTTTGCTGGTTTCTGATTTCAAATATTTGTAATTGAGCAATCAATGCGGGCCATTGTGTGCGCTGTAAGATATCTGCTTATTCATTTCTCTTCAGATTATTTTATTTGCATAGAATCCGTTTCGCGGAAATATAATAATACTTCTTTGAGTATCTAACGGTTGTTCTTAATCAAGAAAGCAGCGGTAGATAAAGCATAATTTTATAGTTCTTTTACTTGTTAAACGGTTATCATGTTTATTACTAACCCCATATTATATACTAGCTTACGCTCGCGACTCCGTCCGCGTATAATTAAAAAAATAAGTAGCCTATGTGTTCTTTCAGACTATCCTTTACATCTAGACAAAATTTCATCGAAATCCGTTCAGCCGTTTAGGCTACAAACTCTAACACATCCATGCATTCATCTAAATTTTCGCATTTAGAATACTCGTATTAGTAAGAAGTAAGATATAGATTGGAAAAAAATATATCTCAGATTCATATCTAAATTAATATGCTTTTACAAAAACTCGAAACATATCCATGTGAACTTTTGAAAAAAAAAAACGCTAATTTAATGAAAAGTAAATTATTGGTATAGGCTCAGATAATACTATACCACAATAGGATAACTTAATGAAGACATCTTCAAATTCTTTCAAGAAACTTAACATTTATAAAATATTCAGATTTCGAGCGTGAGAATAATAGTAAACGAAGTGTAGAAATTGCAGCGCACCAAAATGCACGACGCCGCCTTTAAGATTGTCTGCGACGCGATGCTATCGGCGTTATCAAATGCTTTTATTTCGATCGTCCCATAATCCCACGCTCGGCGTACTTTCTTCACCCTATTCAGAACAAAAGACCGAATTGAGCAAGTGGTATGGGTGTGCAACGGTTCTTTTGCAATTTGGAGTACAATTTTTGCGAAAGACCAGTGTCATCGCTACAAGTGCGACATTTAATGTACGCGCACACTTTCTTCTCGTTATTCTTTAAATGTTTTCTGTGAAATAATACGGTGATATTCTTAAGAAATGGTGATGGCCTTACGCTTTACTTATACACTTATAACGTTGAGGTCGTGAGAATTTCTTATTGAAATATTAACCATCTGTTTCTTCTTGATCTATGCAACTTTTTTGTTGCAAAGATTTCGCCTACTGAAACTAACTTAACTAATCATACACTATTAATTCTAAAAATCTATTAAGCATTAGGATACGCAGATTGCTATCTCCAAGATCAGGGGCATTGGCATTGGCATCGGCAACCATTGGCACGCGTGCCATAAATGGGACGCGATATCATATTTTAGGCACGTCGATAATCATAAAAACAGAAAAAAAAAAGTTGATGAAATTGGACCAATAATCGCAGTCAAAATTATTCGATGACACATGTAAGACCGCATTAAACATTTCTTAAAAAAATGGCACTTTGATGTACAAATGTTTGCCACCCCTGACCTAGATAAATAGGATATGTGTGTCTAGACGTGTGCTGTCAGCTGTCAGTGTCCGTCAGTCGTCAGTCGGGCAGTGGTCAGTGTGCCAGTCGCCAGCCGCCAGCCGTAAGCAATCATCTTATACCATCAGAGTAACTGACACCACGTACCGTTCCAACAGATCTAACAGTCGGCCGTCGACAGCTACAGAAAGTTGTAATTATCTCTGATATATCAATGGAAACATTTATGTTGGTCCAAAAAAAACTTTACAAGATTGCTTGTATTTTTGGGGAATGGGAATACAAAAACTTCCCACCCAAATTGTCGCTTAGAATCTGGCGAATTTTCGCGAAATTTACAAACTGTCAAGGACATTTTATGACATTATTCCTAATATCAAAAGGCGTAAAAGTTCTTTGAACAAGCATCAAAATTAGTCGAACGATCTATACTAAAGGAAAAAAACGCAATACCCTTACGAAATTCAATGAGCGACAACCACAGTTTTATCGTGACCGGTACCAATAAATCCTTGTTGAGTTGTTGGGGTGTTGAGATGCAATCTTGTAGTGTACGTACTGACTGATTACAACACAATTCCGACGTTATGATTGTAAGAAACAAACATCTTTAAATCCGTTTACTTGTTCTCAGGAATTGAACAAAGGCACATAGGATTTACTTTTTATAGAGTTACTACTTCGTATCGCAAAAAATTTTATAACATATAATGAAACAAACTGTTTCTTTAATTAGCTATTGTCACTGTATGATGAACGGTTATTTTATGAGACTTCATTAATAACTAGCTGTTGCTCGCAATATCGCCAATTTAAAAAAAAAAGCAATAAAAAATATAGCCTATCTTGCTCACTGATAACGTAGCTTTTTAAGGGTCAAAGAATTTTTGAAAGCGAACCAATAGTTATAGAGTTATTTCAATACATGCAAAAATAAAAATCTTTCCTCTTTATAATATAAGTATAGACTAATTTTGCGCTCGCGCTGTTGAAATGTTATCATAAAAAAATGTTGCGATAACAATTTTCTAAACACTTTTTAATCATTGTACATTGAAACTGTGAACACAACATGTTTTATGTAATGTTTTGTAGTGTGAACGTAGATTAAGCGTATGCGTGTTCTCGTAAGATCGCGAGACAGTGAGCAAGTATAACATGACAGCATCACCCCGAGCACGGTACAGTTCGTCCATTAACCCAGATCAGAGGAAAAAAGTTGAACTGTGTTATAGTGCAATGTAGGCCCACGAAATACACGATCTCTTGACACTAATGAGCAAAAACAAAAATTATGTGAACCCACTCATAATTGATATACACCTTGTTTTGTTTATATACGATCCAGATCTTTCTGAACCTATTTTTTGCTACAAATCTTCGAGATAATGAAGAACAGTGATATGGTTGCATTGATAAAAATAAGGCCAACGAAAGCGTGGCAATATTAAACGGTAAATTATAATTATTATTGAATTAATGCAGGCAATGACATTTTTACTTTTTTAATTTTTATCATTATCGTATTGATAACACTTTTTTATTTTTAGAGCGTAACATCACATAAAGTATACCTCTGCATGTCTTATAAAACATTATGAACTCAGGCAATTCCTACCAATGACTCACTGCGAGTTCCCAATCAATAAACACTGCGGTTGATCAGAGTACTAGCGACTTATAATTTAAATAATATATTAGCATAATAATATTTGTAAATAATTAATAAGACTTTCTTTTGTAAATAATCGATGGTTTTGTTCACATAACACAATCTTAGAGTTAAAACATGATTTCAATTAATGTAAACAATAACAGTAATAGTGACGTCACGTGCCTCAGCCAGTTCTTACAAATGCAGTTAGAAACAGAGACGTGGGCAAATAGTGTACAACTTATTGCATTCGAGTATTACACTATCGTATTGCATAGGCGTGTACACATAAAGCTAATATTCGACCAAGTGATTTAAGGCTCGCGAGACGGTAACCGTTATGAAGATAGAGGGCCCATAGACTGTAAAAGGCTATCCAAGTCCGCTTAGTCATGTATGTAGTTTTACAGTACGGTGCCTTAATGCGCGTTCCAGGAATACACAAGCTCAAACGACATTTATGACGATTGCGTGCCAATTCTATCCATGATTCGAATGTAATGGCTCGTAATCCAAATTCTTATAATCGACCAGACCTTGACATTGAATATTTTTATTCGAATCCGTATTTTGATCGTGCCAGTTCTCGATACGTATTTAATCGATGATCGTTTAATTCAACAAAATTCTATTGTTAACGAGTAAAGTGTAACATCGCCTCTATATCGAAGGCGTTTGAACTTATCGATCGAAAGCATTTATAGAAATAGGCCGCAGATTAAATCGTTGCGATTGGAAATATAAAAGTCACGCGAATCATTTTTCACGGCTGTCAGAGCGCGCCAAATCTAATAAACGCGAATGATCATCGTTTTGATCTGTGTTTTGGGATTTATGTGTCATTCTATTGTTGAATTGAACAGACTATTTAAGGGACAAAACGTGCTTTGATGTATCAATGGAATGTATTCCAAATACTATTGACTGTTTAATTATTAAAAAAGGAAGACGTACGAATATTACATTTAATATATAATTATCATTTTATTTAATTACAATTTTCTAATTCAATCCGGATTGGGCCAGCGTGTTTGATTGTGGCCTAGTCACCCTAACCCGGATAAGCTCGGAACCCCTCGGTGCCCACGACGACGACTAATTTGTATGTGCAAATAATTTCCAAAGTGTTGAAATATTACCATTAATTAAGTAAATCAGGAACTTTCACTTTGTTCATTGATTAATAGCTAGTCAATGTATAATATGAACATATTTTGATATACGTCCACTTATAATAACGTTGACAGACTTTTATTAATTGTTCGGAAGCTACACATATGACGGAAAAAGCATAATACGGGACATAATAAAAGTGTTAAAAAATGGAAATCAAGTTGAAACTGGTGGCATTTTAATCGGCAGTAGAGTTTTTACATAATGTAATAATTGACATGATAATAAACATTTTATGCAAACTTTCGAATGCATTCTTTTAAAAAACCTGAACTGGGTGTCGTTAATAAGAATATGTTTTAAAATAAAATGACAATCAAATATTTAACATAAAACAATAAACTTATAAATATAGTAGTAAGAAAAGTAAGTCGTTTTTAAACAGCATTATTATTACCTTAAAATGATACATACATATAGCTTTCGCTCGCGACTCCGTCCGCGTGGAATTAAAAAAAAACAAAAGTGAGTAGCCTATGTGTTCTTCCAGACTATCCTCTACATCTATACCAAATTTTATCGAGATCCGTTCAGCCGTTTAGGCTACAAACTCTAACAAACATTCATCCATCCATCCATCTAAACTTTCGCATTTATAATATTAGTAAGATATAAAAATGAGATATAACTTTTATAGAATATAAGACTAGCTGTTGCTCGAGACTTAGTCCACATGAAATTGAAAATTGTAAAACAAAATATCCCATGTTACTAAGTAGTAACGTAGTTTTCTAACGGTGAATGAATTTTTGAAATCGATGCAGTAGTTTTTGAGTTATTACAATACATCAAAAATACAAATCTTTATAATATCAGTATAGATATAGATTAATGTAAAGAATGCTAAGAATAAAGTGACAGCAATAATTCTTAGACCTTACTATAAGATGAATCAAAGCAACTTGCAAGTATTATGAAAGTGCATTTTAAACATCGCCACATCAAAGAAAAAGATCGTATCGTCTGGAATGTGGGCACGCGTTAACCTTATTCCGGGTGGCTCGTGTGAAGCGACGGCGGAAATATTACGTCCATTGGATGCAAATTAATGGCCCCGCCCGGTCGTACTGAGCCAAACTGAGCCAACGGTGAACTTGAAACTGAATTGGGTCAAGTCCGCCCTAGGGTCATGAACTCTACGATCTTAAACGGTTCGCCTATATTTTTGACATTGACAAGGATTGTATTGGACAGCGACGCCCATTGATAGAAGTCCCGTTTTATTTTTAGAAATTACATAGAACAGTTCAATTTCATTTATATATCGCATTAATAGGTATGAAAAGGTTATTCAGATTGTTTATTAAGCATTAACTTTTGCCCGCGATGTTGTCCGCGTGGAATAAAAAAAAAAAATAGTACCTATATGCATGTGTTCTTTCAGACTATAATCTACATATGTGCCTAATTTCATCTAGATTCGTTGAGCTTTAGAGATATGTAGTAACAAACATCCATCCATACATCCAAACTTTCGTATTTAATATTACTGAGATGTAATAAAACGGACTTTGTTACTTAAAAAGATTAATCTAATTCCTCTTCATAAATTTGGAGGAATGTAGACAACGGAAAGAAGAATTTAAGAGACAGTCATTTAGTTATTGATGTTTTTTCCTTGTTTCAGCGACGTTGCTGGGTTCAGAATGCATCGTGTCCGAACAGTGCACCCTCAAAGTGGCGTTCAGCGCCTGCCTCGACGGCGTGTGTCGATGCACCGACGGACATTTACAATTCAGAAAACATACGTGCCTTTCTCGTAAGTCTACATATATTACATTACACTATACATACAAATTACTTCGTTATTATGATAATATGAAACGATTTGTATGGATACAATAGGTGTGCTTACTTGCGGTGTTATAACAATTAACTTGCTTCTATAAGCAGTTGTAGCTAGAGTAAAATATAAATGTTTCTGTCTGGAATAACAATTAACGGATACGTCCGTGTAACTGGACTTTAATTATGTCATCTAAGAAATACTAAAATCTTGTCTATTTTTTATAAGGTGACAAACGAGCAAGCGGCCACCTGAATCCGCCGAAATGGCGTAGCGACCGCGGCCCATAGACATTCGCAATAGCTGATGCGTTGCCTACTCTAAATTGACGAAGGAGGAGACGCACATAAACAAGATAGTTCCCCGTTCCTATGCGTCTCCTCCATCGTCGAATCCACGGTCCCTTCCCATCCTTTTCTTATAAGAAAAAAGGTGGGAAGGAAGAGGGGCTAAAATTGGGCCTATAAATATTCTTAACACTATTTAAACTGAACTGAGTTTTGTTATTTTTCTAATGATTTTAATACAAAGTTACAATATTTTTTGCATCTCAAAATCAACTATAACTCTAATAATAGTAACCGTAATTTCCAAATTTTCCCTGTATCCTGTTAAACATGAGACATTGAAATAATTCTTATTTTCTTAATTACATCGTAAACTTACATTGATTATACCATAGCTTGTATTATGTGCCGTATCGAAACAAGTTAACTTGCCGCGTAATTTCCTGAAGTGGCAAGAAGAAAGTCGAAACTTAAGTGTTAAGTAATGACCGTGTTTACTTAATACTCTTTGGTAATGATATTCGAAAGTCTGATATGTAATATTTAGTGTACTTAACCTGAAATAAAAAAAAATAATAAAAAAATACATTGTGTTATTTTAACGATTTATTGTTTTGACATTTATTCCTAAATCATTTTTAAACATCGAATCAAAAAACAATTTGTCCAAATACATTCTATAAGTTAACCAGACGTTTCCAAAAACGTAAGCGCCTAATGATAACAATTTCCGCATTGTATTGCTTCACTTTTGTGGGAAGAATAAATCGTAGAAGGTAATTGTAGCGATGGAACCGGCATCCGCTCGTGTGAACCTGTCTTATTATCATTTATAACGCTTTTATTATTATGTTATTGTGTTAATACAACTTAACTGTTCTATCCTAGGTAGACTAGGTAGACTAATATATCTACGTTGACATCGCAGTAAAAGAACGGACGCACACCTTTGATTAAACTATCGCACAGGTTCGATTGTCGATTGTTTCGTAGCCAATTCAATTTAAAATAGTAGTGTGCCCACCTCCATATAAGCTTATAGGAATCAGAGCGAGACTAAACACTTGTGCGATAGTTTAGTTAAAGGTGCACGCGTTCTAACATATCAAAATCTAGATCGGTAGAAAATAACTCACAGTAATGTCGGGTACTGTAAGAATTTCTGTAATGTGATCCAGTTATGTGAACGATAAAGTACTTATCTGTGTGTTAAATGTTTATAATTAACGCTAATTTTATTAAACAGTTAACCGAATTAATGCGTACTTTTCTTCCGTGTACGTATAAAGGTAAATATCGTGCAATGAAATTAAGAAATTTCGGTGAAAAGAACCAGTTTATGTTGACCCTCGCGTGTTTTACTACATTGTGCTAGATTGTATATAAACGCTAATCATATTATCATTTTGTGGATTTTGCATCAATTACTTTAAATTGCTTTATCAGACGAAGTAAGGAATCCGAAAAGAAAGCACTTCGATTAATTACACTTGACCAATTTTACCGATATAGTTACGTATTAATTAACGTAGTCACTATTTTCCGTCTGATAAAACTATATTGTGACAAATGCAATATTTAAGATGTGACGTAGATTTTACACCAGTAGTAAAATATGAAAACGTTTAACATAAAACAGGTTAGAGCTCTTCCATGTATCGAGTAGATAGACTGATGTATTATTAAGGAATTTATTAAAGTTGCAAGCATTATCGAGAAAATAGCTACTTGAAATAGTTAATGGCGTTTTCTCCGGCTATAATCACGGTACTATCAAATTATTATTGCGATATCGTCGTGTCTCTAAATGACTACAAATCAATACTAAAAGCATTTTCATTTACATTCCAGCCGCTCCCCCGAGCCACGTATGCTATAGCAACGAACATTGCCGCCTATGGGATAAGGAGAGCCACTGTGAATTCGTTATCCCAAATCTTTTCGGACGATGCGCGTGCAACATATTTTTCAAACAAATCGGAGACAGATGCATCACGCAAAAGATACCAACATTCTCCACAGAAGCAGTTGTCATCGATCAAAGTCTCATGAACCAACCTTTAGTCGTCGAAGCATCAAAAGAAACTATTCACAATATTCCAACGCCGATAAAAACTTTGAACTTACCTGCAGTTATAAATCCTGGTTCTCTTGAAACTTTCGTGCCGCTTAGCGACTTAGTTGATTCCGATGAGGTTGAACCTAGTAAGGTACCGACGATCCCGGGCAAAAATGATGTATTAACTACAGAAGAAGGAGGCAATTCTTTGCTACAAGCTGTTATAAAGACACCAACTTTAGAACCTGTAAAACAGATGCCAGTCGCGAATAGAAAGGAAGGTGATCACACTGAGGTTATTCGCGTCGAAGAAATGACAGCCAATTTACATGCAAACGACCAGCCTGTATACAGAGTTGTGACACAACCGACCACTGAAAAGAAAGCAAATAAGAAGATCGGTGGTGTAAAGGAACAACAAACAAGTTCGGTGAAGCCTTTCAAAGGTGGACATCCAAAGAAATCTTCATCCAAAGGTTTGTTCATTTTAATGCATCTGTTATTATATATCAATTCACACAGAAAATAATTTTCATTATTACATTTTCAGATAAGAACCGTATTCGCGCCGAGGTTTCCTCCGTGTTTTACCTCGGGCCAGCGTCTCTCGGCATGCCCTGCATACGCGACTCACAGTGTCATCAAGTAGATGTATACTCTAAATGTGTGAACAAGCGATGTGATTGCGCATTCCGCACCAACTCGACATCTGCGTGTTCGGCACGGAACAGAGGATGTTTGCCGGGAACCTTCCAGGTAAGGATACTTGCGTTGTATGTAAAAGAGTACATACTATTATAAAACATGTACTTTCCTTCACGACAATTTATAAGTGAATTTGTTTAATAAGCAATTTAACGAGTATTTACAACATGTCCGAAAATTTAGTACTACTAGCTTAGTATGCTACTACTTTTTTATTGAAATACTAATGTAGTTACTTGATGTATTTCAGTGTCGTTCGACTGGGGCATGCATCAGCTGGTTCTTCGTCTGTGACGGCCGCAAAGACTGCCCCGACGGCTCCGACGAGAAGTGCGAAGGCAGCGGTAAAGGTCGCTAACTACTGTTTATCTATGCACTGATTCATTTCATCGCACACAAATACTCTCTCTTTCATTCTTTACTTTTACAAAACGCTTGTTTGGTTTTCACTCGAAGAATAAGTACATAGTTTCCAATCTTACTAATATTATGAATGCGAAAGTTTAAGGAAGAAGAAATGTGTTACAGAGAGCTTAAACAGCTGAAATTTGGGATAGATGTAGAGGATAGTCTGAAAGAACATATAGGCTTATTTAGTCCCACGCTTACGGAGTCGCAGTCAAAATCTAGTCAGTTATATAATCTTAAACAGAAATTAAAATATCTGATCTATATGATTACTTCTGAAATATCCAGCAAAGTTATAAGTTTTTATTCAATGTTCTTTTCTTCAGATGGTTCTGGTGAGCGTTGCCCAATGCATGCGTTCCGTTGCGGCGGTCCGGGCGGGCAGTGCGTCTCACGTGCGGCGCGCTGCGATGGCAGCGTGCAGTGCCCCGGCGGCGAGGACGAGAAAAACTGCAGAGCCACTAAACGCAAGGGGTATGACTATCTTTAGAAAGTACTGAAGCACTCAGCTTATAAAAGAACAAAAAAAATCGGGCTTCATATGCAGTTTTTGAAAAGACACTAAGGTCTCTCTCCTACCTATTGGGCACTAATGGTTAACTTAACATGTTAGTTTAAAGTCTACTTAAAAGTTGTGCGTCAATAACTTGTTCACAACAAGCAGAGCATTAGATAAATTTACGAAGAAATTAATTCTTTTAATAAGTTCACGATTTTAGTAGGAGTCTTCTATAATTGTATTCTAATATCGATTCTCTTTCCAGATGTCCGCGTCATACTTTCCGATGCGGGTCGGGCGAGTGTTTGCCCGAATACGAGTTCTGCAATGCGATCCTCTCCTGCAAAGACGGGTCTGACGAGCCACCACATCTATGTAATGAACAATCAAGGTAAATAATCATATTCACAATTTACCACTAAATTTAACATCTACTGCTCAGACCAATACAATAATCTGATTGCTGAATTTATAAAAGGATTAACTAATAACTTTTCATACAAAATGAGGTCGAGTTCCGTTATGTTTGCTTACCAAATAGTACCACACAATGGCAGCAAACACCATAGTAAAATACCGTGGTGTTATGGTATTTAGATCGCACACATTTTGTTCATATGCGTGAAGCTTGGCCTATTAAGAGACACGTGCCTGTAGAAGCATGGGTGCAACATTCTGACCTCACTCAAAACACTGTTAGAATATTAAGAATTGAGATCTCGTTGTTGATCTCTATAAGTGAATCACGCAGTGAAATGGCATAGATTGAGTGTTAATGAGTGATAGTACCTTCACCTTTTTCTAAAACAATGAAGCCACACACTTTCTTAGACGTCTTTCGGATACGAATATGACCTCATCTTTTGTAAAATTAGCCCATGTATAGAAGAATAACCCCAACACATGATATTTGCTGGGAATGTGTTATTGTGTTAATAAAATCTTATTTTTTTAGATGGCGTGCGGCTGATTTTTGTCCGCTGAGATGCGGCAACGGGCGCTGCCGCAGCACGGCCGTGGCGTGCTCGGGGCGCGATGGCTGCGGCGACAACAGCGACGAAATCGCCTGTTCTGTTTGCAGTGAGTACACCAATAATTGCAACCCTTAAAACGAGAAGTGTAGTAAATGTCACTCCTGTAACCTACTATGAAGAATGATGTAACGTTAGGGTTGTCAAAAATAGTATTTGTGTGAATGTAAACGTAAACATGTGAATGTAAACAAATGAATATTAGAGCCCAGATAAAGTGTATGTTGTATGACTGCTGAAATACCTCGACTTTAAAAGACTATGGTGTTTATATCGTGAATGTAAGTCACAATTAGTCTATGTTACCTGATGTTAGTCCGTGCTTAAGGATAAATCAATTATGACTATTTTTTGTTCCGCCATACCTGTAAACATTGCTCTCCTTCCTTAAATTCGACTGTACCAATAGTCTTGTACACTTGAAATAATAATGTTAATTTTGTATTTACAGAATGCCCATCTCCATCCAAAACTAAAGAAGATTGAAAAATTATAACTCCAGTTAAAAAATAAGTTAAATTAAGTTTTGCCGTACAGATCTCACGTTAACAGAAGAATTATAAAATAAATTAGAAGAATACTTTTTACATCAATTAATCCAGTGAGTTACTTATTGTATAATTTTCAAGCAGATATTTAATAGAAAATATAGACATTTCTTTTGTCTTGTTATTTTCGGCTTAGAATTGTACAGCTCAGTTAGATCTTTGGTGTTTTCATACCGTAATTAACTATTATTGTGTAATTCAAGATTTTCTCAACGTATTGTTGCATTTTTATACTTTTTCATATAAAATGTTACGGTTCTAATTTTAAGTTTGTGACTTTGGTTTGTTTCGAATTTATTTATACAATTTCGGATTTTTTTTTTCATGTCAATAACATAAATGAAAACAGAAGAAGAACAGAAAGTTAAAATTGTTTGGTTTTAAATTTCTTCATCTCTATAAATTCTACACTTGTGATTTTTATTTGCTTTTATTTCTAATAATTCAAGTATGTAATATTTGCTTTTCGTATTATGCATTTTATAAGACTGAAGATTCATTTATATATTATACTTATTTATTACTTTTTATTATATTTTATAATAAAACTACCACTAGTTGGATAATAAGTAAGAAAACACTTGTAAATATGAGATCACCCTATTTTTATATTAGCATTTCTTCGTCTATTTTTCGTATGGCTTATTAATTAGATGTAATTTACAAATAGAATTCCACTGTTAATACAAAATTATTCAACACTTATTTTTTTACACTTGCAATTATATTTATCCCTAAACAGTCTGTAAAGTCATGTCTCACGAATGTGTCAGATTTAATCTATTGTACCTTTATTTAAACGATTTATACGTTGTTAATTGATTTTTGGTTTTAAAATCGTAGATTTTTGTTAATTTACTAATATTGCCTTTAACCAATCCAACTAAGCTCTGGGCTTATAGGATATGGTTCACGTCAATAGTCGAATGGCAGGATTCGGACCCTCGACCGCAAGATCGGTAGTCCGTACCCAATACCATTAGGCTATTGGCGCTTGATTGTAATCAAAGCAGTGTAGTTAATATTTTTTGTAACAAAGTTAGCAGAGCAGCTAAACTATCGCACAACTGTTAGTGATTGTCAATTGTTTCGCAGCAAATACAACTGTTTAGTTGCACAACTAAAAATCGAGTAGTGTACCTCCAAATAAGCTTATAAGAAACAAAGTGAGACTAAATAGTTGTTATGTAATTAGATGCGCACGCTCTAAATGTTGCAGAAAACGAAAAAGTAAACTTATTAAGATACCAATCCATATTTTTTATATAACTTCATGAACTTATATTGCAACCTAATTTATCATGTAATTAGACCACCGAATCTTTGTAATACAGAAATTATAATTTTTTGTATTTCAGTTGCAAAAAAAACAACATATAGCCTATATAAATTAAGCCTTTAAGACTCGATTACATTTTCTTTAGTTATATTAAGAGTGTAACTTATTGTAATATAGTGTGTTTTGTGTGTGTGAATGCGATGGTATTATTTATTAAATTTTTTATATGACAAAATATTTGTTTCAATTCTCAATATCAGCCTTATTTATCTATACTATTATAATTAAGCGTAAACACACACTTCTTTGTTGCCTAAGATGTCAGCAATTGCAGCATATTTTTGTATAATTCTTTTTTTAATAAAAAGTCCTACACTTCACGCTTTAGGCTATATATTTTCACGCTATTAAACTTAGTTGGTAAATAAATTGGATAAAAATCCTAATGTGGGAAAGAGTCCATAAGTTGCTGCTAACATCAAGGAAGCAAGATTGCCACGGATTGTCATCATGTCGTGTCATTTTGACATTTGCAATTGATAAATTCTATTTTTATATGATTAAAAAACGAATGATTAAACTAACCCCTTGTTTACCGTATAATTCCACTATTGAAACTCTTGTAACTTTAATAATCAAAGGATGAATATATTTTATCATCATGCAATAGGACACTGGAAATTCATGGCTAAGGAGTGTTTACACTGCCATCTATTGTCCAACTGCAGTATTATAATTGCATCCACCGGTATGAAAGCGTGAAGTTTTTGATGCTGCACAATAGATGGCAGTGTAATGAAAATAACTAAAGTTCGTGTCATAAAGTTTAAATAAATAAAATGTAAATAATAAATAAATAAAAAAAAAAACAAAAATCAATACCTATGTCAATTATCGTTTTTTAATACTACGGTATACTTGAGAAAATTTTTCATAAGTCTTGATCTAACCAAGTCACTATCGAAGTATCGGAGTACCTAAATAAAAATGTGATAACTTATTTTAAATTAAGTAAAAACCATTTCGACGTTTTTGATATTTTAATTGATGAGATTACTATTTTTTCTTCGATTATTCCATACAACATTATTTTAGACCGATAACAGAGAACAAAACAACAGATTGTAAATAAAATCTTACTAATATTATAAATGCGAAAGTAGATGTATGGGTGGATGTTTGATAGAGTTTGTAACCTAAACGGCTAAACAGATCTCGATGAAATTTGACATAGATATAGAGTATAGTCTGGAAGAAGACATAGGCTACTTTTTTTTTAATTCCACGCAGATGGAGTCGCAGGCGAAAGCTAGTAACTTCATATATTTTTAATATCCGTGATATAAAATTGTCATTATCCTCTATAAGCAAATAAAAACTCTCCACAGCGCGTGCGTTAAGATTCCTCTCGGAAAAACGAAAATGGCGACACAGCCTCCTTTGAGTGCATTGTATTTCAGTGAAGTGGAGTGAATTAGGGGAAATATGAGTTACAAAACAACTGTAAACGTCTAAAATCGGCCATAAAACAACAAACAACAACCTTTTAATGAAAACATGCAAGTAAGTTTTAGAATCTGTAACATTTTTAATACCTTCGCTAATGCTAATGGACAAGTAACATTTATTTTGAAAACAGTTTATATACTAGTTTAGTTTTTCAATGGAAATGTTAACTACGTCAATTCTCACATACATTCTTTATAATAAAGATGTATAAAAATTGATCTTAATGATCGAGTCTCACTGTTTTCAAATTTCAGACATGGTAGATATTTTTGTTTTATAAATATTTCTCTCTGACTTGTTAACCTTAGTGTCATTGTTTAATATAATTTTACACTCCCGTACCATTGATTTTTATAACAATAAAGATGAAGTCACTCAGCGGGCATTGTATTAATAATGTTTCGGTATTCAAGTGACTTAACGACGGATATAATACAACAAATTGCCTCAAGTTTACGCGTAAGTTGATATTTCATCAACACAACGACCTCCGAAAGTCGTGTTTATAAACATGAAAAAACGTGGTTAAAAGTAACGTTTAATTGCAAACATTTAAAACGAACAAAGAGTATACAGACAGCAAGACTTGCCTTGAAAATTTGTAAAGAAATTATTTTTTATATTTGCTATTGACTTTGTTGAAAAGATGACTAAGACGTTCTGATATTGCGAAAGTATTTTGCATCAATACAAACTAATCAGCTTTTTAAAAGTTGAGATTAAATGAATATTTTATTTAATTACCTTAATTAACTAGACAAGTATATAGTACATAGTTAACACATAGTCACCATTACCTGTGAAATATAAACCCGTGTTAGATTTGCACCCAATTCGTACAGCAAGATGTTGCAAATAGAAATACATATATCTCAAAACAAACTACAACTCCGTGACTAACAATAAAGGAAGACTCTTTGGATTTCTCAACCCGAATCTAATGGGATGATTTTAAAACGTGCAAATAATATTTCACGCCTATGTTGGGTAAAGTAAAAATTAAACGTAGCGTAAACCTTGAAATACAATACACGCTAAACAATAGCGCAGCGCAATTTGTTAGTACAACTGCTACTGGTGTTAGCTCGTAATATAAAACAAACTGGGATGATTATATTCAATTGTATGTATGAAGAAAGATTTATAGACATTAATAAAATAAGAACACAGTCAACCCGGATGATATTTTGTCTTAGTAAATTTGTCTCTAACCATATTTTTCTATGCAGTTATACGTTACTGTTAATATATAGTTTACTAGTTGCTCGTGACTTCGCCCGCGTAATGTTAAAATGTACTATGTTACTCATAGATAAATTACCTTTCTAATGGTGAAAGAATTTTTGAAATCGGCCCAGTAGTTTTTACATGAATCAAATACATACGAAATTCTAAAAATCTTTCCTCTTTATAATATTAGTATAGATATAGGTTATTGAGCCGGCGATTAAAGCTACTGATCATAGATATTTTTTTTTTTATAAATTAAGGGGTCAAACGAGCAGCGGGAACACCCAGATTCATCGCCTATAGACATCCGCAATAATAGAGAAACTGCAGATGCGTTGCCGATCTTTAAACAAATGACGTTAAAAATTGTTACAGGTTAACTAATTAATAAAATGAAGCAAATTCAGATGTCGCTATGGATGGTTGCAATCAGCACTTTCTTGTTTACAGTACTTCTGTACCAGTGGTACCATATATCAAAATATCATATAATTCAACCTGATTTTAAAACATTGTCCTCAATAGATCAGCGATTTGAAAAAAAATTAAAACAAGGTGAATTTATGAATAAAAATTCTGTAACATTAATTCATGTTATATTTGTTGTAGTGTCCAATAAGGATTTTTGTAAAATTGTATTTAGTAAAATTTCTTACAGAGTATATACTGGATACGGCCGGATGTCAGATTCCAAAATCAGTGTTAAACTTCAAGAAACATACAGTGAAAAGACACATCGATTGTGGGAAACGCGCCGTTTTGTTGAAGAAATTTGGTCCAAACGCAATACAATATTTTGTAGATGACAGAATATTAAGTCGTTATTTAGGAAAAAATAGTAGTTTCTATTGCTGTTATAGGTTTTTCAAACAAGAATTTCCTCCAAGAAATTTAGGGATATTAAGGTGAATTATAAAGACTGATGTTTACGTGTTATATTTAAATATCAGTATAAATATTTTTTTAAACAAATTCAGGTATTCTTCCTGTATGCCGATGCAGTCAAGTGACGTATTTAAACTGGAGGATGATTTTATAAATGTGCAATGCTTTGAAATGGATGTAAGAAACAATTCTCGCATTATTTACGATGATGTTTATAGCTTCATTAAGAGAAAAAAGAGTAGAAATGTAACGAAATCTGTATTAACAACTAAATATAATGTTCTCATCCTGGGCTTGGATTCTATGTCCTTGCGAAGGTTGGAGCAAACTATGACAAGTACAGCCGAATACTTGAAGGAAAACCATTGGCTTAATTTTAAAGGGTTTCATAAGGTAATTTTATTGTATATAGATTGTAACAATATATCATATCATCTATCTTACTAATATTATAAATGCGAAAGTTTAGATAGATGAATGATAGAGTTTGTAGCCTAAACTGCTAGACGAATCTCGGTGAACAAACATTTACTATTTCATTATTTTTTAAATCCTCGCGGTCGAAGTCACGGACGAAGCAAGTATTAAAATAAAAAAATTAAATCTTTTCAGATTGGAGACAACACCATTCCTAATGTCATGGCAGCACTGACTGGCAAAAATATATCATCAATTATTGGGAACTGCGCGGGAAAAATGTCTTCTTGCAATAAATTTATACTGTGGAGCTATTTTAGGAGAGCAAATTACGTAACAGCATACGGCGAAGATTATCTACGACTGCCCGATACATTCAGCAGAAGCTATGCATTCCGTGTACCTCCAACCCATCATTACATGCGGCAATTTTTTTTCAAAGGTGAACTCGAAAACGGTGACAAGTCACAAGTATGTTCAGGAAAGTATTTATCAGGGCAACATGTACTAGACTACGCGTACGATTTTGTACACACGTACAGAAAAGTACGCAATTTTGGTTTCTTCTGGATAAATTCTTTCAGTCACAATGTAAACAGTCGTCCTGAGGATGCAGATTATCTTGTTGAAGATTTCTTTAAGAAACTATCGGACGTAGGTGTTTTAAATGACACCTTTATATTCTTTTTCAGCGATCACGGCATTCGTTTCGGTGATCACCGCATCTATGTAGAGTCTTATTATGACGAACGTATGCCGTTCCTTTTCGCTTGGATCCCTGATATCTTCAAACTTAACCATCCTAACATTATGGAGGCTTTAAAAATTAATCAATTCAGATTAATAACTCCGTATGATGTGTATCTGACTATAAGAAATGTTAATCAAATACCCATTGGAAGTAAAAAAGGCTCTGAAGGTTGTCCAAAGTGTCAAAGTTTGTTCGACGTTGTTAATCCGAATCGTACATGCCAGGACGTCGCCGTTCACGATAAGTGGTGCAGCTGTCATGAACTGTATCCCCTTCATAAAGATAACGAGCGAACAAAAACCGTGCAATTTGTCGTTAACCATATTAAGAGTATAATAGCGACTGTGAAGACGAAAAATTGTTATACATGTACCAGTTTGTCGCTAGGCAAAGTTAACAGAATACATTATTACTACGACAAAGAGAGAATTAACATTTATTACGTTGTTGCTATTACTTTAACGCCAGGAAATATGTCTTATGAAGCTATTGTTATGAAGGACAAATCCAGATTTCATCTAATAGGTCAAATAAGCGTTATATCTCCGTACAAAAATTTCGGCAAATGTACCATACAAGACAAAGATAGGTTGTTTTGCGTATGCGAGAAAATTGTTAACTGTGAACTTTAAATTTATTTTCTTATATTATTTTAAAGAATATCTCTATTATTTTATCTGTGATATTTATAATAATTTACAATCAACTAATTTGGGATATTTATACAAAGTTTTTGTGATATTAATTTTATTTTAAAAGTATAACTACTTTATCCTCGATTTTTTATGTAATTAATGAAGGTAGGTATACTTTATTCTTGATAAAATTAATTAACTTTAAGACATCTGTATTGTATAGTCTGACCAGATATATGTATAAACACTCCTGCTGTGTCGTAAAAAAACGATTAAAGGTTCTTATGTTTTTGATAGGTTTTAAATATACAATAATTCTAGTCTATGGTCTACTTCTGTTTACCTCTTTATTGTAATAGTGTTAAAATGTGATTTTGATTAAGAACATTTCTATACTCTACAGTGTGATTCGAAGTACTTTTTTTGTATATTTCAATAAAGCAGGTTTTATTAAGAATTAAGTTTCATTTGTAAAAATTTACAATTTTACTTTAGTTAATTATAAACAAACTCATTATAAAGATATCTCTACCTAATATGTGTTATTTTTATATGAACCGTTTAGTTTGTCGTTCAAAAAATGTTTGTACAGTTAATACTTTATATTTTTACTGATTTAAAACCTTGTAAAAAGTCGTCACTGTATTTTTGATTAACTTTACCCAGTTTGTAAATTTTTATTTTTTTTAACATCAGTTTTTTTTTCTATGCAAATCTAATTAATATATTTTGTACTATTTTTATTAAATTTCAGAACAAATGTATTATATCTATTTATTTCTTTACGTGTCTTTATGTCCAAATAAAATAATAATAAGCTGAAACTTTTGTCTAATAATCTGTTAAACGTTTTATAGCTTTGTTGAATTTACTCAATACTGAAATAAAGAATTTTTTCATATGTTTTGTCTTTAACTTTTTCCATATAAATATTGTTTTCATTTAATATTGTACATTTGGTTACAGATAATGTTAGGCCACCTAACTTGCGGATAAAAGGAGATGGCTGAAATGTGTATGTTAAGATGGATGTGTGGTGTGACAAGAACGGGTAAAGTAAAGAATGTGTACATTAGAGCAAGTTTGAAAGTAGCGCCAGTGGTGGCGAAATTGAGAAGCAAAAGGTTAGCGTGGTATGGACATGTTATGCGACGAAAGGGTGGGGACATAAACCAGAAAGTGTAAAGAATGAATGTGGAGGGCTACAAAGGTAGAGGAAGACCAAAAAAAATATGGTTGGATTGTGTGAAAGAGGATATGCTTAAGAAAGGAGTGGATTCAGATATGGCGGCTGATAGAGATATATGGAAGACCAGCCCATACTGTGCCGACTCTCCGTAAAGGATAAGGGCAACTGGATGATGATGGATACAGATAACCATATTTTATCCTGTGCCTAAGAAATAATAAGAATATAGAGTAATAAACTAAATAAAAAATTAATAAGAGATCAAATTCTGATTCATTTGTTTTTGTTGAGTTATCATTATCTTTAAAAGATGTTTTGATTACAAATGGAATTTGCTTACAGTGTTAATATAATTCCAGTATCTTCAATTAACTAATGATATTTTCTTGTTAACTTGTTTACAATGCTTCGCAACGGAGTCATCGCGCCGCACCCTTTCGGTAATTCACCGATAATGACGACTGCCAAACATAGAAAGGGCAATCTAAAGACAATGCAATTCTTATCACCGACCTTTGTCTGCATTTAATAATTTATGACTAAATACACATTCGCTAATTTTATTTGCTTGTCTTTTTCGATGATAATTGAAGATAATATTTTAATTATTGTCACTCTCCTAGCGATTGTAATCAACACCGCTTAATGTACAAATTAACACATGTTTGTGAAAATTGAAGGGTTGGGCGGACAAGACACATTCGAGTGCTAGATAAGAATTCTTTCATCAGTAACGGTTTTTTTTAATTCAGGCGGTAAGTTGTATCAGTAAATGAAGGGTACCGTGGAAAACCTCCTATGGTTGTTTA